AATAGCATTGTCGATGATGTCCAAGGAAACGCACATCAGGGCCCAAAGTCTCTCTCTCTTTCTCTCTCTCTCTCCCCCTAGTGCCACGTGTTAACATGTGGTTAGTTGAGTTTTTTTTTTCCATTTAATTTAATTTGCCAATAATTTTTTTTTTTCATTGAAAATAAAATCTGAAAAAACTAAATTTATTAAAATTTAATTCTCTACAAAAATGAAAACCTTCATAAGTATTGAAAGAAAAAAAAAATTATTTTTGATTTTTTATAATAAAAACTCATAAATTTTTCCTTTAAAAAATCAATGAAAATTGAAGGAATACTTTTACTCATTATACTAGTGATTTTTTTAAAACATTTTTTTTAAATAAGTTTTTTAGATGTTTATTTTTTAATTATAATAAATATTGTTGTATAAAATATTGTAACATCTGGAATCTTAGGTATATTAATGGTGTGTTTATTTTTGGGTTTATTGGGTGACTCGTCGAGTAAAGTCGAGATAACTGTGTGGGTTTAATGAGCTGACTCGACGAGTTGGAGAGCCGACTAGCCAAGTAGGTGTTGTGTAGTAAAACCCTAAATCCCCGGGTCTGGGGCATATATAAGGGAACTTATAACCTCATTTGTGGCTCATGAGTTTCCTAACTTCATTGAGAGAAAACCTAGTCGCCTTTCTGAGTTAAAAGAGAGAATGTTGAGCTTATATTGAGGATTTTTGTGCATCTTTGGAGGGGAAGAGAAGGAATTCAAGCAAGGAACGAGGATAGGCTGTTAGATATGTTGCTTGTCATCCAAGAGCTTCTATAAAACGTGAAAAGTTCATACCTTTATCATTCTTGTGGTTAGATCTCTTGATTTTGGAAGGTTAGGGTTTATGCCACCTTTAATTGTGGTTTCGAGCTTACAGAGTTTTCTTGTGGTTTAGACCTCAGATCTGGAACTTTTGAGGTCCCTAGAGTCCAAAGGTCCCAACTTTATTCACCCATATGAAGGATATTGTGCTTGAAAAATTGTGAGAGCATCTTTTGGTATGTTAGAGCAGAAATTACCATGCATGAACGTAAATATTGAAGCTTTACGTGACAATGGAGTCTTGGAATGCTAGATCTAGAGTTTGGAGTTATGGAGATGCTTTGAATCGTCTGAATGAGAAATAAGTTTGAAGGGACTCGCCGAGTCTATGAGTTGACTCGACGAGTCGGCTGGGGTTTTTCCCCGATGGGTCTGGATATGGACGACTTGGCGAGACAAATCGATGAGTCAAGGTGGATTTTCGCGATATGATAGAAGAAACAAGGGGACTCGACGAGTCACATAGATGAACTCGGCGAGTCGGGTCAAACACGGACTGTTGAATCGAGTTTGACTTATGTTGACTTTAGGGTTGGTCATACATGAGTAATGAAGGCCATGGAGGGATAAAATGGTCTTTTACCTAATCCAGGAGTTAGAAATAGAAAGAGAGGGAAACCTTTTGCTATTGAGAATGAATAGAGTATTAACAAGAGATATTTATCCTATGTGATAGGCGGAGGCTAGTTCGAGATTTCTGTGTGCGAGATTATTACTTGTAAGCTTTCGAGGTGAGTCTTCTCATTGTATTTACCATGTGTGGTATCTTTATGCGAACAAGATGACTTATGTGCTTATTTGCATATTGTGATATTTTGCATTATGTCTTTGCGATTTATGTTGAGTATTATTATGAACTTCCTGAGTTAGGACCGGAGGGTCCACCCAAATTATGGGACCGGAGGGTCCCACTGAGACACATTGACCAGAGGGTTTTGTCTAAGTATAGCCATGAGAGGCTACTGAGATGTGTGTGGTATTTTGGGGAACTCACTAAGCTTCGTTCTTACTGTGTTATGTGTTATGTGTTTCAGATACTTTTAAGGATATCGGGAAGGTGCTGGCTTGATTGTACACACAAGAGAAAGAGTTATGTTTGGAGGATCTTGGATTTGTGATAAACAATTTTAAATAAAATGTGTTGAAAATTTGTTACCAGTGATTTTGAGGAAATGTGACATATGTTTATTTGTGTTTTGAAAGTAAAAATTTGTTTTAAATTTTACGGTGTTACAAGTTGGTATCAGAGCCTTGGTTTGAGAGATTCGGATGCACCTTCGGGTGTGTTTGGACTCAAACTGAGGATTTTAGAAAAGTTTTCAAAAGAAAAGATTTTCTACAATGTGTAAGAGTTCTAACAGAAAAGCGAGAAGAACCAGTGCGTGCAATCATCCATAGCCCGAACGGTGATTTCCCAAAATACCCTTACTTATTTATTTGTGTTATAAGTTATTATTGAGATATTAGTAATGCATACTCGAAGATAGGCTAGGTATTTCATATATTAGGGCTAGAGTTTCCTGATTTGTGATGCCTTAGCCTTGGAATTGTCGTTACATGTTATGTGCCTTGAGTATGTGTTGAGTAAGAGTATCTAGCAGGAATCACTTAGAGAGAGAGAGAGAGTTCTAAGTCAAGAGATAATCTAAGAGAGATACCTAGATAAGCATTGAGGAGTTTGCTGAGAAGAGTAATTAGATACCATGAGAGGTAAGGTGGATTGAGTTCAGTGATGCCTTTTGAGAGCAAGTATAGCAAATAGATTTGTAACCTAAAGTTGTTTTACGTGTTGGTGGAAATTATTCGATGCCTGAATGTTGCTTGCTTTGTGCTTTGTGGAACTCTTCATGATGGGAGTCGGCTACTAAGTGAATATGATGATATTCACGAGGTAGATGGCTAGCATCATAAGGAGTTCTTCAACAGCTGATGGTAGAAAGTGTGAGAACCTAGGAAGAGCCTAGGGAGTGTTTGTAGTCAGAAGAGTATGCTGATAGAGGAGAGTATTCGCTGGGTATCGACTGAGTATATTGGGATTGGTGATTGAGAATGGTTGAGTAGCTACTTAGGAAATCTGGGACGATCCGTGTGGAAAGTATGGGTAGATGTAGCAGGTAGTATGGGACCGTATACTGAAGGCACATGACCCCTACTCGAAACAGGGAGAATTCTAGAAGTTTTAAGTAGCGAATTGAGAGGTGATAATATGGTTCAGGTACCATGATTCGTGGCAGATTGAGAGGTGATAACATGGTTGGGGTACCATGATTCGTGGAAGATTGAGAGATGATAACATGGTTTGGGTACCATGATTCGTGGCAGATTGAGAGGTGATAACAGGGTTCGTGTACCATGATTCGTGGCAAATCGAGAAGTGATAACAGGGTTCAAGTACCATGGTTCTTGGAGATTAGTGCTTCAGAGTTTATCAATTATACTATTGTGATTGATCAGACTGAGAGCAGATATGATAGAGTGTGGGGCCAGAGGGCCAATTCGAACGAGTTTCAATGGAGCATACCTTGAGAGGGAAATCAGGTTAGTTTCCAAGAGATTTTTGGAGGTGCTAGTTAGAATTGCAAGACTCAGGGATGAGTAGAGCTGATGCTTATTAGATGATCGCGGTCTAAGTTGAGTAATCGACCGATAGATGAGACATCACCTTCTGTGACAAAAGTTTCGTTGTCCTCGTTTTGAGGGAGAAGCAAATAAGATAGCGAGTTCCAGTTTCAAAGTTTCAAGGCAAGCTCTGTGGGGGTAGCACAGGATTGCAACCTTTCCGACAGAGTATTTGGGTAGTATATTGCTGCGAGGTATTTCTTATACCATGAGAGAGTCGTTAGTGAGACTGAGATGGGAGAGACTAAAAAGGTGCCTTTGTGTGTGAGGCATGCCTTTAGCAGCAGTTCCAGGTGATCAAGAGGAGTACATCGGGGCGGTGGCCCTCGTTGTCTACGTTATGTATCGACTGTGAGAGTGAGGTCTCTTGCTTTTATAATTTCCCATGATGGGAGGCTGGTCGAGGAGTTAGAGACGAGGTGCATGATAATGCATTATTCTAGATTGAGAGTTAAGACTGTTTCAGATCAGTCAGGGTATCCGGTAGTATGTCGGTCCGAGGCATTCAAGATGACTAGAGGCAGTAACGTTAGGAGGATTCCGAGGTTTTGTCTTAGACGCGTGATGTTTGGAGTTGCTTGGCTTCCACCAGGAAGATCATTGAATGATTGTGTGGTTCATTTCAAGAGTCGAGTGTGGTGTACCTAGTGAAACAGTCTATGCAGTAGATTGTTGGTATGGCTAGGGTGATAATTCGAACCCTAAGTGGGGGAGATCCGGTTATTTTATTGAAAGGACCAGAGATTTGTTCAAGGGCGGTTAGAGAACCGGATATAGAGACCTGCGATATGAATACATGAGACTAGGGTTTATTGGTGTTCGAGCTGAGGTGCAGAGTGTGATAATGCATGTTATACGTGTGCAGGGAAACACAAGTGTCTCCACGGTAGGTGGTCGTTGCTCAGAGACCTTGTGGTGGTTAGAAATTCTTCAAGATTGTAATGGTAAATTCGAGGAGGTTGGCTTGAAAGGATAGTTTCGGCGATTGAGAACTTTGGGCTCAACGTATGGGTTGTTATATGCACCTTGGGAAGGGAAGAAGTTGATTGGGCAACCAACTTCAGGGTTGGTATGAGTATTCTTGCATGGGTTTTGAGCAATAGAGGAGGTAGTCTCGGATTGTCGTCAAAGTGTTCTGGGTCATTGAAGATTCCTCCGTATTTCAAGTTGAGAGTTGGAATATTTCGAAGGTATGAGTTGTACGATAGGAAGATCTGATTTGAGGTTCTGAAAGGATGCATTGTTTTATCGGAGTATGGTGTCATAAGTAGGAGGTCAATGGTTGAGGCAAGACATTGTGAGGTTCTGTGATGGTGTACCACGATATCCGAGTATGATACCCTAATTTTCGGATCATTTTGAGAATTGAGTTATAGCATGGCAAGAGGAGCATCAAGTGACTATGGCTCCAGGGGGAGCCCTTCAGTTATTGTCATCAAACATGAGTATCCAAGTGTGTAAATTTCAGCGAGAAAAGTGTTTGGTCATGATGGTTGTGTTGAAGATATTGTGTTGCGTGTTTCGATGCCGATGTCATTTTCGAAACAAACGGGAGAAGGGAGCTCAAAATTTCATATGAAGGTTATCAAACCTGAAGTCTCAGTTAAACCTCCTATCATCAAGCAAAATCCAAAAGACAAGGAGCCGTTATTCAGCATCGAACCTATCATTGATGGTAGTGAAGACGAAGAGCCTGATGAAGTTGAGCTTAAAAGGCATAAGGCTCGTGAGGCAGAGATTGATGAAAATGCTCGCATCGTCAGAGAGGCTGAAGAAAAAGCACGAGCTGAAAAGGAAGCTCAGGCCACTCTTAAAAGTAAAATGTTGTTATTTCCAAAGTGGACCTTGAAGCGCATGCATAACCAAGCTGTGGATATGCCAAGTAAGTATTAGCTAGATCCTATTGCTGCCTTTGATGTTCAGAATTCACAGGATTCACAGTTTGACCTTCCCATCACACCGAAGGCATTCAAGTTTTGTGCCTTCAAAAAGGTTTCCAATGTTCCTTTCTCGGATAGCACGGGTGATCAGTTGTTGTTTGACTTTTACTTGAAACATATGAAGCTCCATTTCGAGACCTGGAGTGCGAGCAAAGTTGTAGCCGTGAAGGTTACCGGGCCAATTAAGACTGAAAGCTTCCCTAATGCGAAGTTTAAAGTTGCGAGATGATCTGCACAACAAGCCTGGAAATTCACCCTTGCAGATTTGCCATGCTTGAACCCCAACGACTGGATGGTGATTTTCAATATTTTATTGCAAGAGAAGGAGAAGTACCAACCGGTGTTTGCTCATCTGCAGATCATGATCAAGTCTTACATTTAGGAAGTTGGGTCGATGGATGTGGAAATTGTTGCGGTTCTAAGACAAAAACCAAGTGTTGTTCCAACAGAAGCTCTGAAATACTTCTAGAAGCTCAAGCCCAGAAAGATTTACAAGGAAGGATGGTTTGTCATTTACACTGCAAGAGATAGTCCAAGTGCAGATCGACGTAAGTTATACTTTCATCTTAAAGATAAGCACCTGTTTCCTACCTCTTGTCTGGAGTTTATTTTGGAACTTGTTGCTAAGTTTAAGGGAAACAACAAAGATGATGTGAAGTGTTTCACTGATGTGATCAATTGGTACATTCATGTTCGCAAGCTGCTGCCGAGTTCATTCCTAAAGTCTATGAAGTGTAGAAGCGAATCTTAAATTAACATGGCCTTGGTTTCACTTAACGCAAAGGGGGAGATTGTTGAAGATATTATGTTGCGTTATTGGGCCTATGTTATTTAGTCTGCTTTATACTCATGGTTTGGGCTTGTCCAACCATGTTTATCTTTTTAGGGTTTAGTATATAAGGTGCATGCATGCATCCTTATCAAAAATGCTTTTCATAATAATCATATTGATTATACTGTAAACCCTAGCGTACCTCTACAGAGGAAGTTTTTAGTTGAGCTCTTCTGAGGTATGACTATATTTTAATCATTCGACATACGGATTGATTCATTGCGTGTTCTTGTGTTTTTCATTCTTATTTATTTACTTGTTAAAGATCTAATCGATCTAAATAGTCTTTATCTCATCAGGTTGTTGTCAGGTATGGTGATCCTTCACTCGGGTGGGTGGGTGTACCTATCTATGTTGGACCGTGGAGTATTCGGTAGTAAACTTAATGGGGTGATGAGAGGGTGAGTGGATCTGAGTGGGAGTAATCACTTTGGGTTGTCAGGAAAAACCATGGAGTGAGCCCATGGTGAGTCAGCAAGAAAGTGTTGTGAAACTGCGGGGAGCCGTAGTATTCACCAGTAACCGAGAAAGTGTTGTGATACTATGGGAAGCCGTAGTATTCATTAGTCAGCAAGAGAGTGTCGTGATATTGCGGGGAGCCACAGTATTCACCGGTCAACGAGAGGGTGTTGTGATATTTCGGGAAGCAGTAGTACTCATGAGTCAGTTAAAGAGTGATGTAGGCATGCGGGGAGCCGTAGCCTTCTCGGGTTAGTGAAAGGGAATGTTATGATACTATGGGGAGCCGTCTTAGTCGCTAGTCAGAGCATGACACAAAAGAGTTTTTAGGCTTGGGTAGCCTTATTATTTGAGTTTTCGGGAACTTGGTGATCAAACCAGCGGCGAGACTGGGGTCTCCATATTGGTGGGGAATCGTTATACGCTGAGTTAAGGTGTGGTGATCACAATTGGAAGGAATTAGAGAAGTGATGTACGCGTGGATAGTGGGTCATGGGTCATGGGTTAAGTGCTTCATTGGGACGAGTGGTTCCAATTCTGTGTCGGATCAGACGCTCGAGTTTGAGTTTGACTATAACAATGTAATGAGTAGGTGAAATGAGATTCCGGATTCAGAGTTGTGTCTCCTTTTTCGAGGGGTATTGTTTGTCATCTAATGTCTTAGACCTGAGTGGGTTAGTTCGTTGGTATGGGAAGGACTGAGAGACGCATGTAACTTATGAATAGTAGACGACAGAGGTTGAGGATGAGACAATTTCAGTTGGGATTTTAGTATTTACTTTGGGTAAAGCGGACTTTGTAACTCGTGTGACAGAGCGGGCTGAGATAGTTATTGTGAGAAGGAAGCCAGTGAGATGTTTTGGGTATGCTTTCGGTAACCTTTAAAGGTTCAACTATTGGGTCGGGTGTTGACTTGGTGCTCAATTGTTGAATAGAGTATTTGAAAGGAAGCTTGGGCTTATGGTTATAGATATCAGAGGATACTTCCGAGCGTGCATGATCATTTTCTTGTGTCTGAGGACAGGGTGTTGAGAGTTCATTGTTCAGTCGGGGTTCCGATAGCAGTATAGCGGATGAGTCCCTGGTGGAATGTGACCCCCTCTTTTTTCGTTCCTTTAGAGTATGGACTGGATTGATTAGTATATTTGGGATGAGTGATTGGTAGCCAATTATTGGCCATTGACTCGATTCTATCAAGTATCAGCAAGAGAATTAGAGGGACAGTGAGTTATTTGGGTTTGTTATTCTAGGAGTGATAATCATGGTGATATCTTATGAGGGCGGTCTGGCAGGGAGACAGATCACTAGGGTTTTCCAGGTTCTGGAGATTTAGATCGGGTAATGTAGTGGCGGAGGAGTCAGTGCCTATTCAGGATTGGGAGCTCTTATTTGGGTTCAGGTGTACTTGGAGGAAGATAGTGGTGTGGTATAAGATCCTTTCGCTGGGGTTTTCGAATTATTGTGTTTGACCTATGTGTTACTAAGGAGAGATTTCGAGGGTGAAATCTAATTCAAGTGGCGGAGAATTGTAACATCCGAAATCCTAGGTATATAAATGGTGTGTTTATTTTTGGGTTTATTGGGTGACTCGATGAGTTGTGAGTCCAACTCGTTGAGTAGAGTCGAGATGACTCTATGGGTTTAATGAGTGGACTCGACGAGTCGGAGAGCCGAATCGCTGAGTAGGTGTTGTGTAGTGAAACCCTAAATCCCTGTGTTTGGGGCCTATATAAAGGAACTTATAGCCTTATTTGCTGCTCATGAGTTTCCCAACTTCACTAAGAGAAACCCTAGTCGCTTTTTTGAGCTAAAAGAGAGAATGTTGAGCTTATATTGAGTATTTTCATGCATCTTTGGAGGGGAAGAGAAGGAATTCAAGAAAGGAACGAGGAGAGGCTGTTAGATATTTTGCTTGTCATCCAAGAGCTTCTATAAAACGTGAAAAGTTCATACCTTTATCATTCTTGTGGTTAGATCTCTTGATGCAAGGTTAGGGTTTATACCACCTTTAATTGTGGTTTCGTGCTTATAGAGTTGTTCTGAGGTTTAGACCTCAGATCTGGACCTTGTGAGGTCCCTAGAGTCTAAAGTTCCCAACTTTATTCACCCATATGAAGGATATTGTGCTTGACACATTATGAGAGCATGTTTTGGTATATTGGAGCAAAAACTACCATGCATGAACGTAAAGATTGAAGCTTTTCGTGAAAATGGAGTCTTGGGATGCTAGATCTAGTCTTTGGAGTTGTAGAGCTGCTTTGAATCGTATGAATGAGAAATAAGATTGAAGAGAGTCACCTAGTCTACGAGCTGACTCGACGAGTCGGCTGGGGTTTTTCCCTGATGGGTCTGGATATGGGTGACTCGGCGAGTTGGCGAGACAACTCGACGATTCAAGGTGGATTTTCGCGATATGATAGACGAAACAAGGGGACTCGACGAGTCACATACATGCACTTGACGAGTCGGGTCAAACATGGATTGTTGACTTGAGTTTGACTTCTGTTGACTTTAGGGTTTGGTCATACATGAGTAATGGAGACCATGGAGGGCTAAAATGGTCTTTTTCCTAATCCAAGAGTTAGAAAAAGAAAGAGAGGGAAACCTTTTGGTATTGAGAATTAATAGAGTATTAATTAGAGATATTTATCCTATGTGATAGGCAGAGGCTGGTTCGAGATTTCCATGTGCAAGATTACTAATTGTAAGCTTTCGAGGTGAGTTTCCTCACTATACTTACCATGTGTGGTATCTTTGTGCAAACGAGATGTCTTATGTGCTTATCTTTATATTGTGATATTCTGCATTATGTCTTTGTGATTTATGTTGAGTCTTATTATTATGAGCTTCCTAAGTTAGGACCGGAGGGTCCACTCGAGTTATGGGACCGGAGGGTCCCATTGAGACACATTGACCGGAGGGTCTTATCTGAGTATAGCCATGAGAGGCTACTGAGATGTGTGTGATATTTTGGGGAGCTCACTAAGCTTCGTGCTTATCGTGTTATGTGTTATATGTTTCATGTACTTTTCATGATACCGCGAAGGTGTCGGATCGATTGTACACACAAGAGAAATAATTATGATTGGAGGATCCTGGATTTGTGATAAACAATTTTAAATAAAATGTGTTGAGAATTTCTTACTAGTTATTTTGAGGAAATGTGACATATGTTTATTTGTGTTTTGAAAGTAAAGATTTGTTTTAAATTTTACGGTGTTACAAATATAGTGGAGATTTTTTATCCAAATTCAAAAAACAAATGATAGAGTTCTTGTAATACTATTTTAGTGAGTTTGCAAAAGAAAATTTTGTTGAAAAAAATATTTTATTAAGAATATAAACGTTTTCTTTAGATGATTTTAATTTTTTTATAAAAAAAATGAACGTGAAAATGTTTGTTTTCCGAATTAAAAATCATTCTAAGGGATTATGATATATCATATATTATGAAAATTTTGAAAAGAAATTTTTATAAATAAGGATTTTTAGATACCAAATTTATTTTTAAAAGATTGTAACTTTTTTTTAAATAAAAATATTGAACATAATATGATCCAAAATGAAATAACTTAAAATATTTAATATTAAAAAAAATTATGATTCAATATGTTTATAATTCTTAAGTAAGTATGTAGTAAAGACACTAAAAAATAAAAAAT